GTAGGTAATTTATGTAATCGCCATTTTGTTATCAAGAAAAGGACAACAATACAGCTCAGCCGTGCGGACTCGCCGTTTCACTCGCGCTACGTTGAAGCGTACAGTGTGGTACAGTTATGTCTTGCTCACTCGATTGTATGTTTAATTACAGACGAGTGCATGTGTGAGAGTTGCTTATGAGTCGGAGAATATATTAGTTCCTTTTTAGTTTAAATCTCAGATTTAAACATACAAATGATACAACTATATCTCAGTTTCCCGAAACTTTCTGAACTGAGAAATGGAAATTAGAAATTCGTCGGCTTTAAAATTCTCAACTATGAAACAGTGACTTACATAGACATAATATACAATATACATTTATGTGGGATAATCACAGAACACAGAAAGAGGATCATGACTCTTGAATCACCAATCAGAGTAAGATATCCCAAGCGAATATAATGTGAACTTGCTTGTAATTTGTGAACTTAAATTTACTTAAAGTAATTATTTTTATGTAATTTCAATATCTATAAACATAGTTATTTCAACGGAAGAACGGAATCACCTAATACAAGTAAAATTATTTGTTTAAAAGGAGGCTTAAACCACCTTAAAATCAATGTTAACGTTGAAGATAACGATACAAATATCTTTTTATTTTTCATTTTGTAATAAGTAGGGTAAAGTTCGACTAACACTATAAAAATAGTCTTTATTCAAGTTGGATAAATAATTTACTTCAAATTTTTTAGCTGCTACGCGTTTAGGACGGTTTTCTAGCACCAGCAAAACAGGATAAACTCACTCACTACTCACTCAACTATAGAACTCAAGAAACAATAATGTCTTTATATAAACGTTTAGCACAGTATAGAAACTTAACTATGATATAGATAGCCTACACATTGAAGAGAGTACTTAATTTGTGAATACCAAAGTCACATGATCGAAACTTGGTTACTGACACAGAACACCAAACAGTAATAAGTAAGTTGCTCGCTAGCTAATTTATTGATCATTTATTTTAAAAATTAGATATTTAAAGAACATAAACTTAAAAACTATATAGCTTAACCAAAAAAAATAATTTACAAAATAAGAAATATGTCACTCCCAGCGCGCCGCTATCAGAAATGGTGCCCAATAGGTTGGCTGCATTGCCACGTTGGATTTGGCAATTGGCAAGGCTGATCCGTTGACCAAGATAGCTGCCAGCCTTTTGATCACCAGTCACTTCGGTGAGCCCCTCGTTGAATTTCCTTAAAAAAGGGAACGAGCGCTAGGACCCCATGGGTCCATAGACTCTACACCAAACGGTGCAAATATGTAGTTCTCATTAGGAACTTAATATTTGCGTCGCTTGGAGCGCTCGGTACTGCTGCCTGTATGGCACGGAGCAAGCGTATCCACGCAAGTTGCGTCGTCCCATACAAAAACTATATATAAAAATAAAAAGTGTAGCTAGCTTAAAATTACTACAAAGTGAAAGTAATTTAAGGGAACGATATAAGCTCAATAAAAACCAGAACATAAACGAATAAATTTTACATAAGAAACAAATTTATTTATAGTATTTTGTTTTTAAGTGAAAGTGAACTACACTTCTGGACACATCTATTGGCCCACCTTGTATTTTCAGTTTCGTTTGGTCCTAGCTAAAATATTATATTTGGTCGAGCAAAAAGTTTTTATGCAGTTTTGAACCTGGCACATTCACAATTTCATTCAATAGTCTTTTTTTGAATTTCGAACACAGAATTTAAAGAAACAAAAGACAATTTGGAGCCTGTTTGTTGATATCAAACAATCGAATACTAAGAAAACTTGGTTTTATTGGTTTACTTGGATTTAATTCTTGAAAAAGTGATTGATATCTTTGGTTTTGCAACAAACATTACTTATTCTTAACATTAAGGTGAGGTTCTATCAATAATCTATGGATACTTCACCTGAAGTCGCCGCCCAAGCTGTGGCACTTATTCAGGCCGGACACAGCCAAAGAAACGTGAGTGCTCAACTTAATTTAAGTCGATCTGCGGTCCGAAATGTTTATCGGAGGTACCTAGAGACTGGCGGCTTTGTTCGTCGCCAAGGAAGGCCACGATCTCGGGTCACAACTGAAAGGCAGGATCGATTCATCGTGACGACCAGCTTGAGAAATCGTCACCTTACCTCCATTGAGATACAAAAACAAATTCGCGACTTCCACGGAGTATCTGTGAGCGCTCGAACTGTTCGGAGAAGGTTAAAAGAACGCGATATGGTACCACACAAGCCAGCTAATGGGCCCAAACTAACGCGAGCCCACCGAACAGCGCGCCTTCATTTCGCACGCAGTTATTTAAATTGGATACAGCAAGATTGGAGCCGTGTACTCTTTTCTGATGAGTCTAAAATTGTGTTACATGGCAATGATGGAAGGAAGAAGGTCTACCGACGTAAGGGAGAGCGTTGCGCACAATGCTGCTTTGAAGAGAGGGTTACTTATGGCCGTGGCTCATGGACTGTCTGGGGCGGTATATCCGCGAGCGGCAAAACTTGAGGTTGCTACAGGACCACGGCTGCCAACATTAAATGCTGAAAGGTACATTCGTGAGTGCTTAGAACCTCACGTGATACCATACGCGGACTATGTGGGCCCAAATTTCCTTTTTATGCATGATAATGCAAGAGCCCATGCGGCCGGCATCGTCAGGGAATATCTTTGGGATGTGAACATTACAGTTATGGACTGGCCAGCCAGAAGCCCATACATGAACCCCATTGAGCACATGTGGGACGAGCTAAAAAGACGTGTTAGGGCTCGTCAGCCAGTTGCCCAGACGATGCAGGAGTTGAAAACTGCCATAGAAGAGGAATGGGAGATGATCCCTCAAAATTTCATAGAGCGGTTGATAAACTCTATGCCTAATCCTATGAGAGCTGTGGTAGATGCCCATGGAGGCAACACGCGTTATTAAAATAAACCATTATTTGATAAAACATGTTTTTTATTCAAAAATCCATTGCCTTTAACAAGGCGCATATCCGACTTGTTAGGCGTAGCTCCATGTCGTATGGTATTCTGAATTCGAATTTAAAACAATACGATCGAAAAAGATGGTAAAATGTATCAGGTTTAAAACTGCATCAACAGTTTTTGTTCAATCTAGCAATCATATTTCGGTAGGGGCCATCGAAACATAAACTCTAAGGTGGGCCAATAGATGTGTCCAGAAGTGTATTTACATTGTCTCTAGTATGGTGTGATAGATTAATATTATGAATTTGAAGAGTTTGTTTGTTTGGTTGAAAGCGTTAATCCCAAGAACTACTGGGCCGATTAAAAAAATAATTTTATGTTGGATAGCGCATTTGTCGAGGCAGTTAAAGCTATATAACATAAGGATACGACTATTAGCAGCAGAGCCCCAATAAAAGAAATAGCAAAAACGTAAAAAAAAACCATTCACTGTTTCATTTGGATCTTCCGTTGCGTGCGCAACGTAAACGGTACAAAAGTTACACAAAAAACATGTATGATGGAATCGTTTCCTTTTAAATGATGCTGTAAAAAAGTCCGCGACAGCACTGTCTATCTTTTAAGGGTAACCCACATCTTTCCTCAAATTAATGTGGGTACGCAGGGCACCTCTAGTAATAAATAAAGAGTAATTTGATACGATTGGGAATCGGATATCTGTGATGTCAACGCCAAACTTATCAAATCGGTCACTGAACCACCACCCTCGTTTATAATAAGGGTTGCATCAACAGGAGATCAGTATTTTTGATTATTTTGAGACTTTTATTTATTCTCAGAAAGATGTCTTGTACGAGTATGTATAGGTAATACAAAAACTTGTTTTGGAAATGATATCTATATGATATCAGTGCGGTCCAACAAGTTTCCAACCTGAAATTATTGTCTATATTTCAAAATAATGTACAAATGAAACGTAAATAGATATAAGAGCAGCATTGTAATCGCGAGCGTCTATCGAATTAGAACCTCAAAGTAGGTACAGATGCTCGATACAGAGATTGGCTGTGAAGGCGATGATGAATGGGCGCGTCTGGGCGCGTCGCGATAATGACGTCTAATCTCCTGCGGCGTTATGTTCACCTAGTATTGCGGTGGCACACTTCACCTGTCCTTGGTGGATTCTTAACGTATACAGAATTCCGATGCGAGAATGGAAGTTCGATGGATACATTGGAATATGTACAGCAAACTATATAACAAACGTGTAAAAATATTCTATTGAAAATTATTTTACGTGAAGTGATGTACAATTCTAGACTTATAACATAACGTTCTTTGTTTTGGGTTGTTCAAGCAAAAAAGTGTTCTTTCTATGCAAAAGGGCTGGTTGGTATATTAACCAGATTAATCCAGATGGGTATCTAGATGCTCAAAGGGCCTGCCTGATGGTAAGCGGCTACCAGACTATCGTCAGGCGCTCTCAGGCGTGCGTTAATTACCCTGAGCGTCCCCTACCCAGTGGAGGTGTGGCAACCTTACCCACATACCAGAAACTACACCAGCAAAAGGTTCTTTTGTAAAATGCAGATGATTATACTTTCCCAGACAAGCACTGCGAAACATCAGCTGTGCCCTAACCGCATTTACGTAATATTTACTTATTATAAGTGCTTTAAAAAAATCGATCTCTTTTTCTAGATTCAACACAGTGCCGCTTTATCTTCATATGAGAAAACAAAGTTTTTTAGAGTAGGTACCTAAAATTAAAAAATAAAACAAAACATACCTTGTAGCTATACGCAGTCGATTGTAAAATTTTGGCGCGAGGAAGCATTGATACCAGTATATTGTTAGGTATTAGTGAAGTCATCATGATCTCCGAGAACGCTATGTTTGCCTAGTACTTTAGTTACTAAAGTCACCTGTTTCTCTGACGTGCGAAATAAATAGAATCGTCACAATTACTGACCGTCCCCACCCACAAAGGAATCTATCTGGTCACCACACGCAACACCGTCTATCGATAAAGGGTTTGTTACTCTAAACTCACCTTTAACGGAGGAGTAGGAATATACAACGGAGGGTCGTTCTGCGATCCGGAGTAAATCTCCATACCATCTGGGCCTCTGGTGCATCCATCTGCGTCCACTACGCTATAACGACACACGATGCCATCTGCCGGCTTAGCTTCGTACCCCGGCGGTTTCCCAACATGAAAACCCTTTGCTTTCACCCAAAATCTAAACTTCGAACTATCGGAACTGTTACATTCTTCCCCGCGTAACGTGCGCAAGATTCTAGCATACTTCTTGAGTGTTATGGTTTTTGTCTTCGCCAAATCTCCGTATGTCTGAATCACCCATGGTTGGTAAGTTGAAAATAGATCTAGTTTTGGGTCTCCAGTTTGCACTTTTGGTCTTTTGTTATTGTTCTGCTCATTCTTTTTATCAGTCTTCGAACAACTCGCGGTAGATTTGCGCTTCGAAGGCTTGCGTGGCGTCTTCTCTGGTATAGCTTCCTGTGTTAACTTTTTACGAAGTCCTCTGTCTGTTATCATTGCTGCAGCCATTTTAATTAAAGAACACTGTGACTGTTAGTTTAAACACAAGTCATACATCCTCATCACTGGACGTCCGTCACTATAACATAATATTTCTCTACATAGCCCGTGTGTCTCTTTTGTTTTGGAATTCGGGAAATCGCTCTAGGATTGTTTTCGAGAAAAGTTGTCGAACTCAAAACTTCTGGGACTCGTGCGTACAACTTTCTGAATACGAACTTTTGACTGCAAAGTTTGCTACCTAAAAGAACTTTGTGTAGGAACTTTTGTTTACGGAGAGCAGTAGGTACATACTTTCCTCTCGTTCGCTCCTACTTATCTACTCAAAGGTGATAAAATAGCAGAAAAATGTTTATAAACAATCAACAAAAACGTCATGAAAATTAATGGACATACTTAACTAATAACTAGATATTATTAGTTAAAAAAGGTAAATAATAAAAAGAATATTTAATTATATTATTTTGTGATTTCTAACCGAATCAGGTTGATTTCCCAGACGGAGGAATGGATATAGAATAGATGAATCAAAATCGCGTTATCCAAAACAAAAAAGTACCAGGCATGAAGAGGTGGGCGGACGGTCGACGCGACGTAACCGCGTATGGCGTTGCGGGGCAACGCGACACAGACCCAACGTGACGGCCGCTCGCATGGGGCGCGCGCGGTGCACTGCCGACTGGCAATACTAGCACTGGCATCGGCATCCCGTCTGGGACGGGCCGGCATCGGCACGTGCGGGCCGCGCTAATTGCCCGCAAAACAATTGCCGATCGGCGGCGGCCCGCGCGATAATGCCCCGTCCTTCGTGCGATAACGCGTGTAGCGAGCGACCGCCATTGTTTCCAGCCACGCTCGTGTGGGTAATGCGCGGTTTGCACGGATCATTCCGCGCGGCACGACAAAGAAGCAAGTAAATTGTGACCAGGGACTTATACCACTTATAGTAAGTCCATGAGCGCGACATGTTAGTACATTAGGAGTAGGTATCATGTTGGCAAGTACCTGCCTGTAATGACAAAAACTATAAAAAATATTTTATTTTTTAAAAATCTAACCGTTTTTCAATTTGGTTATTTGAACATGTTTGTAGTTTTTCCTTTATAAAACCTTTAAAAATGCCATTCATTGATAAGAAACGTCTTATAAAAGTTATTGGTCATTAAATTCCCTACCTACAACTTTTGCATAAGACATTTTTGAAGTTATACTTCTTTAGGCGCGTTATGAAAAAATGATGAGAGTGAAATTTTAAGATGCGCGCGCATCACTGTAACACAAAATTTTAACAGCATGATGTTGGTCGCTTTAGCGACCAACTTCATGCGTTACTTTTGTGTTTACCGCACATTAAGAAAATCTACCTACAAAATAGAAATAGAATCTCTATTTAGTGGGTGCTAACGACTGCATTGTTGTGAAGGCCTATCAAAAGTATTTATTAATCTGGAACAACGGAACCAAAGCGCGATTCAAGAGACTACAGCGCCATCTCTTGACCATTGGTGTAGTAGAACCAAAAACCACATCTTTATTTTTTGTAATAAAGTAACAGTTATAGGTATTCATATTTATAATATTTATCCACATGTTTCTAGTTTGTATATTCGGAATACGTGTTTGAGTTTCATACAAGTGCAAATCACATATGTTCTAATAAATTATATTCAGTAGCGATTTTAATTGAATATTTTGATTATTTATTTATTTTTTCAAATTAAAACTGAACTTTATTGACTGTGTCCTTTTCCAGACTTTTTATTAATTTATTGTAATTAATTATTTGCATGCAATTAAAAACTAATTTTAAACGATGCCAAAGAAGGATAACTTCTCACGCGCCTACATAAGTACACGCACCCATTTTTTTTTTATAAATCTTACCGTTTTTCAATTTGGTTATTTGAACATGTTTGTAGTTTTTCCTTTATAAAACCTTTAAAAATGCCATTGATTGATAAGAAACGTCTTATAAAAGTTATTGGTCATTAAATTCCCTACCTACAACTTTTGCATAAGACATTTTTTTAATCAATAAATACTTTTAAAGTTATGAGTCGTTAATGTGGGGCAAAAGCGGGCGGGCATTGAATTGAAGTAACAGAAGTGTCCGAAAAATGCACTTACTTGCACCCAAATTGAAGCTGCCCCATGATGACTTTGTGGGATTGTTATCGATTAATTGCAAAAAAGGTATTTAATGATAGAATCAATTTTCTATAGCATAATACGAGCAAAGGAAAAAGGTTGAAAAAATATTCATTCTCGTTATAAAATTAAAGCAAGAATAAAAAACTACAAAAGTTTTTGGCGCTTTCCAGATACAGTACGAACATACTCGTCTTCTGAATCAGAAAAATCTTCTGATTTCTTCTTCGTCCTGCAAGTTTTTCGTCAAGTTGGTTAGGAAATATCCTGAAGATTGGAACTGGAAACAGACTGGCCATGGTCTCATACCCATATAAGCATATCTCTAGAAATTGCGCCGAAAAAGTTAAGTACTCAAATATGCAATGACAACGGGCTGAATCTTCTATTCTATAGGTATGCAGGCCCCTCTGTTATAAGCTGAGACTCCATGTCCATTTTAGAAATATTAATTAGTGATAAGAATCAATTGCACGTGTACTAAACTTTGAGATACTGCGTCATTGCTACGTTAACGGCTCATAACTTCAAAAGTATTTATTTAATAAAAAAAGTCTTATACAGAAGTTGTGGGGAATTTCATGACCAATAACTTTTTGCCGTTTTATTTTTTATCAATTAATGGCATTTTTAAGGTTTTATGTATAAAGGAAAAACTACAAACATGTTCAAATGAACAACAATAATTGAAAACGGTAAGAGTTACAAAAAAAGTTTTAGACGAAAAAGTTAGGGAATTTAGTAATAAGTAAACAAAAATGTACAATATATCTACTACATTTTTTCCGTAGTCAATAATTGCGGATAGAAACACGTTTTCCAATATGGCGGCCGGTGTGACGACCCTACGTTCCCCGATTTTTAAACTTATGTGTGCTTCTTATGACCTACCTTAACATCTGTAAAAAAGTAGTGTGGTAAAATTTTGCATTACGATCAAGTATAACCGCGATCTCTGTTTCTTGGGCTATATTATGAATGACTTAATTAAGTATAAAATATTATTAATTTACTGAGTACGGCCGTAAGTGGGATAGGGTTAATTAATATTTTTCGTGACTTGGCTGCCTTTTATGTAACGCGTTAGCGTTCAGTCGGTAGTCAGCAGTACCTAAGTTTTATTTAGTCTATTAAAAATATTTATCATATTCCATTCCACGCAAGTTTGGTGGTTATCACAACCAGGCTTACTTTGTTGCTAAAGTAATATCAGTCCTAAATGCATACAAAATAAGACGGTTTCTTTTGACAAAGACGTTTTGAGTTAAGACATTTCAAGACTGCGATTAAAGGACGCCCGTGCGCGCGCATTGAGCACGAAACGATGCGCACGCGCCGGCGCTCTTGCGCGAAATGTGCGCATGTTACTAGGCGCCCATACACTGCGAGGAAGATCATAAATCGAGAACAGGCGCGAAAAGCGATCCAATCCGCCGCGTTTCTCAAGCGTATGCGCCACCGTCAACCGCCTTCTCCAATCAATACAAACTAGAACGCGCGCGGCGCTCTTTTGCGAATTATACCGTTCGTGACTGGACTGATTATATATAAATATGATACTGATATTTGCAGTTTGCAGTAAATAAAAAAACATGCAATAAACACCTTTATTGTAAGACTATTATTACTTTACTATTTAAGTTAAGCAATAATGTTGGTATTGGAATTTGTATTTTCTGTGCCGAATATTAGCTGGATCATCTTACCAAAATCTCCTTTTAACTTATGCTATCCTAGGTACTTGATGAACACATTAGCCATGATTTTGGATCAATATTTTTTTCATTCGATCCATTTGATCGATCGTCAGTCAGGTCTATTATTTATTTATTCAAAGTTCTACTGCTATTCAAAGACATTCTAGTTTAAGCATAGACATAGTTAGGGAGATTTTTAAGTAAATAATTTCAGCATTGGTTACTTTTTTATTTGATCTGAGTAGTTAACTAAGTACAAAATTAGTTTTAAATACCAAATAAATGACGTATTTCGTAATGAAAATAAATACGAGAATAGATTAAACAGACAAAATATTATTAAAATCTGAATTTTACTAATTCCATTACCAATAGAACATTATAAAGCGAAATATCAAATACCTATATGCATGCATTTTTGATTTGATTTAGAAGCAAAAAAAAATGTAATTAATGCACACAATGCAGAGTAATCTAAAAACCAACGAAGGAAAGACGTTACTATATCTGTTTGTAATGAAAATGTTATTTGAGAATTACAAATTCACAACAGAAGAAGCTGTGATGTGATCGAACATCGATGATCAATCGAATCGATTCGATGTTACTTCATAATGTCGACTTCTACTAGGAGAACATGACAATTTAGGTGGTTATATGTATATTTTGCGCACGCGCCTCTCCAAGCAAGTTGGTGCGTCATACGTTTTTTCACCACTCCACAAAAGATGGCGTTATATGAAAATTGCAAAGTGCTGATACGCTGACTAAAAATATAAAGATAATGCGAGTAAACACTCCGAAGATATTCTTTTTGTATTAAATAAATTTAATAAAAAAAATTTATCAGCATTTTATCAACAACATCGCAATCCTAGCACAGGGTCTCTGGTTGAACGCGAAAAAACTGTTTTCTTTGCCTGTCAATAGATGGCACTATTAGATAACAAAAATATAGTCAACTATAAATTTTATAATTTTATCATCCATTCTATTCTTCTTAATTTTCTTGATGATGTCCATTTTTGATGTGTAACAATCTTTCCTCTCGCTTTCCTGCAATTTGTGGGAGTGATTTCGTGAAATGGGACGGAAGTGTGTAACAGGAAGTCGCGAAAGCGCGCGCTATTTGATTTGATTTTAGAATAAAATTGTTCAAATGGCTTATTTCTTTTGTAGTAGGTTTTATTTCTTTTTCTTTTTTTACTAATAAATATGCGACTACTGTAAGGCTCGCTCGTTTTTTTTAAATATGTATTTGATTACAAAATTATGCAAATTAAAGAAGTACTAACCTAAACCAAGCAATCGACTCTTTGTAATAATAGCAATTTGGAAGTCACAAAATTAGGTTTCTTCCTTGGTTGCTTCGTAATAATAGATAGGAAGAAAGATAAATTGAACTTGAGTAGGTATTGATATTTATTAAATTATGCATTGAAGCATATTTAAGTTAAAGTAAATGATAACACAAGTACTTAAATAAAACGTCCAATATGGCAAACTTCGTCTACTTGGTAGATATTTTTTTTGGTGGTAATTTATTTATTAACCATTCAGCAAAGTCATAACTACTTTTAATTAAATCCTCTTCCGTCTGTCCACATAGACTTTGTTATATTGGTCCGTTCCATGTCATGTCCGTAGGTAATAAAATAATAACAGATTCTTAGCTTGGATAAAGATACTGAAGATAAACGAAACGAAAATTAGATTACGCTCCGAATATGTTCTGCGCAGCCCAAATCCATCCACTCCACCAAAAACAAATCGTGGACGGGGGGGGACGTGTGGATTTTGCTGCACTTGCTACGACTATTCAGTCAAATAGTACCAGGGAAGCATAAATAAGTGTAGTAGTTTCAATACCGGAATAATGCGCCAGCGCCAATCAATGTCGCTCTTAACTTACCTGCTGCTAGTTATGATCTCCTA